CTCTTAATACTATCACACTGGGAGCTAATTTAAACATATAAATTTAGAGGGGAGAGCAACACTCCACTCTACTGTTACCAATTTATTGTATTAGTCTATTTTCATGCTACTGATAAAGACATACTCAAGACAGAGTAATTTGTTTAAAAAAAAAAACAAAAAGAGGGTTAATGGACTCACAATTCCATGTGGCCAGGGAGGTCTCAATGGCAATCATGTCAGAAGGAAAAGGGCACTTCTTACATGGCAGCAGGCATGAGAGAATGAGAGCCAAGCAAAAAGGGAAACCCCTTATAAAACATTTCGGATCTCAGCTCAGGTGTGGTGGCTCACACCTGTAATCCCAGCACTTTGGGGGTCCAAGGTAGGCAGATCACAAGGTTAGGAGATGAAGACCATCCTGGCTAACATGGTGAAACCCCATCTCTACTAAAAATACAAAAAATTAGCCTGGTGTAGTGGCACGTGCCTGTAATCCCAGCAACTCAGGAGGCCGAGGCATGAGAATCTCTTCTACCAGGGAGGCGGAGGTTGCAGTGAAACACGATCACACCACTGCGCTCCAGCCTGGGTAACAGAGCAAGACTCCATTTCAAAAAAGAAAAATAAATAAAAAATAAAACCATTGGATCTCGTGAGACTTATTTATTACCACCAAAACAGTAAGGGGAAAACCACTCCCATAATTCAATTATCTCACAATGGGTCCCTCCCACAACCTGTGGGAATTATGAGACTTACAATTCAAGATGAGATGTGAGTGAGGACACAGCCAAACCATATCACAGATATACATCAAATTTGTAATAGTGGTTATTATTAGGTAGTAAAATTATGGATGATTGGCTTTATTTCTCTGTATGCCTTCTAAATTTTCAGATATTAAGCATAAACTACTTTCTAATTGGAAAATGGATTATTTACACATATGTATGTGTATGTGTGTGTAATTTCTTTTTCCTCAAATAATTTTTTTCCTGTGCAATTTACTTCCTTATAGATATTTTGCACTGAGTAAATATTTAACAACAAATACAAATTCACATCTCATTTTTTTATTATATTGCAAGCTGAATTTCTGCTAAAATATGAACCTTAATATTTAAATGCTGGGGAACACAAAGAACTGACTTCAAGTTTACCACAGACATCAAAGTGAGAGGGCAAGGACCTCATTCTGTAGTTAATTTTTTCTAACACAATATAATTGTCATGGATAAAACAATTTGCCTTTTAAATGCTTAAAGATATTTTAACATCACCCATGCAAAAGTTTGGCTTGGAGAGAAGCCTTAGCCTGTAATGGCTGTGATACAAGTTTTGCTTGTTTACAAGAAAAACAAAATACCACTGAGATAATACATTAGGCAATTTAACAATTGACAGTTGGAAAATTAGGCAATTTAACGGCATGATTCACTAACTACTACTCCTGGAGAAGAGTAATTTATCTTGCTGTATTGTGTAAAATACTGAGAGCTAGTTTAGGTGTGAAAGGTGGTGGTGATGATGACTACAGATAAACTGTAGTAATCAATTCAGCTCAATTCAGGAAATCCTCAGGGACAACTATGTTGTTTTGCTAGGCTATGAGCCTAGCTATATACAGTGCCAGCTCTAAAGACAATTCCTATGTAGAATCTGGATTCCAGCACTTCATATCTCTATGACATCGGACAGGACAGGTTACACAACCTCTTTTTGCCTTAATTTCCTCAGGTATAAAATGAGGATTATAACTACTTCATAAGATTAAATAAATTAGAAGCATGAAGGCCATGCACATTTTACCAAGCAAAGTTGAAAAATGTCATCTTCTCAAATGCAAAAAGTATGCTCTCTATACCACCCCCAACTGAAAAGGTGATAATTTATAGACAAGCTTATAAGTATCTCAAGTTAGCCTTAAATTGCTCTTAAAAAAAAAAAAAAAAATTTCATACTTAATTAAGAAAGCCAGCACACTAGTGTGTTTATCATTGTATTATTATAATGTAATATGTTAAGGTAATACTTGTATATTTTTTGATAAGGAAAATTAAAGAAAATTATGTCATTGGATCTGTAAGAAGTGTATGGACCACTATTAAATTAAAAGGGTATAAACAAGAAATAATTTTATTTTTCTCTCATCATTACCTTCAAACATCTGCAGTTAAATCTCTGTTCACTGTCCTTTAAAGATTTCTTGGGTAAATTCCATGATTTTCTGACCAGTTTTAGCTTTCAAATTTCAGTGCACTCTACTCCAATTTAAAATCTGAAGTTCTTATCCACATTTTTGCTCAGATCCTCCCCTTTCCCCATGGTTGTGACCTGGTTCAGAAAGAATCTGAAACTGAAAAGAGGAGTGGGCATGATCAACTCTCCCATATCCCCCTTCCCTTCCTCTATGGGTCCATTTGCCCAAGGGTTTTGAAGACTAGGATTAGTGTTTAAAGCAAAGCAGGCAGAGACATTTTACTTAATCAGTTTTATGATATTTCTCTCTTGACTTTCATGACTTCTTTAGCTAATACGAAGACAGAATCTTCAGTAATTATGAAAAAATTAATCAGTTATCTAACACTGAAAGTCCTGAGACTCTGTTAACGAGAACTTTGTATTTTACCATCAAAATAATAAGAGATCACATTGATAATCCTAAAGCACAAAACTCCTTCTAAATTACAGAACTGCCTCTACACCAATATGGAAACTATACTTCTTTATGTTCCTTGAAGATTTTTATTTCAGAGAAAACATTTTGCCTCAAATTATTTACAGGATAATGCAAAAAGAGAAATTATGACATTATATACATATGTCCATCACTATTCATTTATCTACTTAGTATAAGATTCTTCCAGTTGATTTAGCTTCTTTAAGATCTTACATTTAAACTTCAAAATTGTATAAAAGTTAATATAGGAAAGGGTTGTTTTAGACACATGGAAAGCAAGAAGCTTCACAGGCTTGCAAGGCTTTTAGGACTAAACAACCTGATTCTAAAATTGATATGGAAGGGTAAAGTTCCTATAAAAATTAAGACAATTTTTGAAAGACAAGAATAAAGTAGGATCACTCAATCAATATTAAGTCTTAATATATAGTTACAGTAATCAAGACAGTGCAATATTGGTTGAGGGTTACACACATAAATAAATGCAACAGAATAGAGAAGCCAGATAGACCCATACAAATATGCTTAACAGGTTTTTGACAAAGCGATGAAAGCAAGTTAATGAGGGGAAGGATACCGTTTTCAACAGATGGTGCTATAGCAATTGACCATACATCAGCAAAGTAATAAACTCAATCTAAATCTCACTCCTCATGCAAAAATGGATCATAGACTTAAATGTGAAAAATAAAACTTACAATTTTTTTTAAATTGGAGAAAATCTTCAGAATCTAGAGCAAGATAAAGTGTTCTTAGACTTGACACTAGGACTCATAAAATAAAAATTTGAAATCATCAAAATTAAAAACTTTTATTTGCAAAACACCCTGTCAAATAGGTGGAACAATGAGGCAGAGATGAGAATAAAATATTTGTAATATAATATCCAACACAGGTATATATCTGAGAAAACATAAATTATATATATATATATGTGTGTGTGTGTGTGTGTGTGTGTGTGTGTGTATGTGTGTGATAGACATATATATATATAAATATACACGACATATATATGTCATATGTATATGAGAGTATGTATCTCTTAAAACTCAATAGTAAGCCGGGCATGGTGGCTCATGCCTGTAATCCCAGCACTTTGGGTGGCAGAGGCTGGCAAATCACGAAGTCAGGAGTTCGAGACCAGCCTGATCAACATGATGAAAACCCATCCCTACTAAAAATAAAGAAATTAGTTGGGCATGATGGTGCACACCTGTAATCCCAGCCACTCATGAGGCTGAGGCAGGAGAATTGCTTGAACCCCAGGGGCGGAGGTTGCTGAGAGCCAAGATCGTGCCACTGCACTCCAGCCTGGGTGACAGAGCAAGATTCCGTTTCAAAAACAAACAAACAAAAACTCAATAGTAAACAATTCAGTTAGAATATGGGCAAAAGACATGGACAAACATTTTACCAAAGAGAATATATAGGTGGTAACTGAGCACCTGTATGTATGAAAAGCTATTCAGCAATATCATTCATCAGAAAAATAAAAATTAAAATGACGGTGAAATATCACTATATTTGCCCTGACGGATCAAAAAAATAGTGATAATACCAAAAGCTGTCACTGATGAAGAAAAGCTAAATCACTCATACCTTTTAGTGGGCATGCAAAATGTTTGGTAAAACAATTTGGCATTTTTCTAAAAATGTAAATGTGCGGCTACCAGACTTTCCAGCAATTGCACTTCTGAGCATTTATTTCAGAGAAATGAAAACTTATGTTCATAGAGGAATCAGTATATGAGTGTGTATAGCAGGATTATTTGTGATAGTCAAAAACCAAAACCAACTTAGATGTCATTAAATGGGTGAATGGTTAAACAAACTATGGGCTATCCATACCACAAAGACCACTCAGTAATAAAATGGAACAAACTATTGGTATACACAACAACCTGTGTGCATTGCCAGATTATTATGTTTAATGAGAAAAGCAAACCCCAAAGGGTTACATACTCTATGATTCCATTTATATAACATTTTTGAAATAACATAACTATAGAAATGGAAGCAAGATTAGTGGTTGCCAGATTAAGGATGCAGGAGGGTGTGAGGTAGGTGAGTATGGTTATAAATTGGCACCATTAGGAATCTTTGTTATGAAGAAATTATTCTATTTTTTTTTTTTTTTTTGAGACGAAATCTCACTCTGTTGCCCAGGCTGGAGCGCAATGGCACGATCTCAGCTCACTGCAACCTCTGCCTCCCAGGTTCAAGCAATTCTTCTGCCACAGCCTCCCGAGTAGCTAGGATTACAGGCACCTACCATCACGCCCAGCTAATTTTTGTATTTTTAGTAGAGACATGGTTTCACCATCTTGGTCAGGCTGGTCTGGAACTCCTGACCTCAAGTGATCCGCCTACCTCAGCCTCCCAAAGTCCTGTATTCTGTATCCTGACTGTGATTGAAGATGCACAAACCTACACGTGATAAAAAATGTATATAGTTAAATACATATACACACTCGTGACTACAAGCATAACAGAAATAAAATAATCCATGTGCTGAATAAGATAAGATAGCTGAATTGTATCAATATCAATAACCAGTTTGCAGTATGGTACTATAGTTTTGCATGATATTAACATCTGGGGAAATTGGGTAACAGTATCTTTCAATATTATTTCTTAAAACTGCATGTAAATCTATAATTATTAAAATTTCAATTAAAACAAAAAAATGTGAAAAACCTTTTTTATACCACTTGTGCATATCATTTGTCTTAGTCTGTATTGCATTTCTGTAAATGAATACCAGAAAGTAGGTAATTTATAAAGAAAAAAGGTTCATTTTGCTCATGGTTCTGATGGCTAGAAGACTGGGCATCTGATGAAAACCTCAGGCTGCTTTCACTCATGGCAGGAGATGAAAGGGAACCAGCGTGAGCAGAGATCACACTGCAAGAGAGGAAACGAGAGAAGAAGGCACCAGGCTGTTTCTAACAACCTTCTCTCCAGGGAAGACATAGAGAGAGAACTCACTTCACTACCCCACCATGCCAGGGAGGACATTAACATATTCATGAGATATTTACATTCCTGACCTAAACACCTTTTGTTAGGCCACACCTACCCTTTAACATTGGAAATCAAATTTAAACATGAGATTTGGAGGGGACAAATATTCAAACTATAGCATCACTCAACGGCCATATTTTTAAATTCACTTGTTAAAATATTTAATTGGAGGCCATCTGAGCTAGGGGTGGGGGGTCTTCCATGTCTCAGTTGCTTGTGAATACTGGGACCTAGCAACTGAATGACTTTACAAATGGCAGAACAAAATCTCAACTTAGATTCTCAAAATTACTAAAATAAAGGCACTTGAAAATCACTTTTATTAGCTTTTTCATTGGAGAAAGTAGAGACAAACACATACCTCGGAGAGTTGTTAAAAGGAATAAACAAACATACTATATGTCATTTACTTTAACACATCTAACTCTTGGCCGTTTATCAGTCCTACTGGTGCCACAGTATCACTGTCCTTTCACTGAGTTTAGCAGATGAATTTACATTTATAAAACAATCTATACATTTTTAAATACTTTGCATTTGCCAAGATCTCTAACATCAAAGAGAGTTGCTCTTCTATTTTTATCAATACAGCTAAAAAACATTGTACTGAAGATGTGAAAAGACCAAATGGCATTATGATGATCTGTTAGAAAACTTTATGTGTATATCTGTGAATGAGGCAAGGCTTTAAAACATTCATTCTGTGACTCTGATATAATTTTGAGTTTTAATGCTTTCATATAGCTTTTTATCCATGCACCTTCTCTAGGTGTATTTAAATTGAGAAATGCCTCTCTACATAACAGCATGATGCTAGATTATCAGTAAACAGACAAGTGAATTTGCACATCAGAATCTGGTTGTCTTAATCCCCTAGCTCTACCATCACCATTACAAATAATTACTACAGGAAAATATATATATAATGTTTGTACTCTGGGGCAGGAAGAAAACAAAGTAAATTAGTAGTGTGAGGGAGGTGTCAATTCAGGCTTGTGTTAGTGGCTCATTATCTGTAATGAATGAAGCCAGCAGTTACTAGTGTCTGCTCCGTACCAGGAGCTATTCACACCCATCTATTTTAATTCTCACCAAAGCTCTCCACACTGTTTAGAATTTCCCTGTATTACAAGACCAGCAATCTGAGACAGACTTTCAGCAGTTAAATTGCATTTCTTTCTCCAATATTAGTCTATCAGTTTATCAATTCTTAGAAGAAAGAATTACCTGTGATCTGATAAGCAAGAATGTCTTGACACTTGTTTTTGTCTGGTTATAATCAGAAAAGTTACTGAGCTCTAAATATAAATAATGTTGCTGCCATCAAGTTTTATACTTCCAAGTACAAAAGGTTCTTGTTACTCCAAACCAGGCTGAAACACTGAACCATTGAACAAAGTGTGAGGATTGGTAAAAATGGAGAATCAGATACAAAGTTTGCTTTCAATTTTGTTTAATACAGATCAACAAACAATGCAAAGGGAATGAACCAGACAATGATAGAAATGAGTGGAAGCAGCTCTCCAACATGTATCTAGCTTCTAGTTACCCAGTGACTAGTCTCTCACAAAGTGCCTCCAAATTTCAGGGGCCAATGCAACCTGTGTAGGATAATCATCCTGCCAGATCGGAGTTACTCAGCCCTCTGGTGAAATGGTTTGGCTCTGTGTTCCCACCTAAAAATCTCATCTCGAATTGTAATCCCCACATGTCAGTGGAAGAAACTGGTAGGAGGTGATTAGATCATGAGGGGCAGTTTTCCCATGCTGCTCTCATGATAGTGAGTTCTCACAAGAGCTGATGCTTTTAAAGTGTGACACTTCCTCACTTCAATCTCTCTCTTTCTCTCCTGAGCTTATATAACTGTCCACATTTAAGTATGCATTCATGTAAAGACATAAGTGATTAACTTCTTTTAATCTGTAACGAACATCTGAGTCTTGAAGACCTTCCTCTGGAGCCTCAAAAACTTTACTTAATGTAAATGGATCCAGGCGCTGAGGTGAATACCCTTATTTTGTCTCCTGCTAAATCACGGAGGTTTGGAGAGTTCTTCAGACCCCCGATGAAACTTGTTTAATCCTAAATGGGTCTTGTTAAGAATTTCTTTGTTGTTTTGTCATGCTTCAGGAAAGGCATAGGCAAAACTCTTGGTGGACTTTTGCTACATCCCAGCTTTTGTGTCAGGGTCCTAGCTCTTTCAGCTTTTAATATTTAACTTAACCCCTCAGGTAGTGCTGAAACTCTTATTATGGAGGCCTGCGTTAGTGAGACCTGGCCTGCCACAGAAGCAGGTGGAGCTATTGATCTAGCATACTCTTAGGAAGTTGAACATTGTATTTCTATTTTTATATTGACAAGAACTAGCATGGCCACACTCAGCTGCAAGGACACCTGAGAAATTGAGTTTATCCAGGAAAGAAATTTACCCAGTTAACATTCAGAGGTTCTGTTACTAAGGACAAAGTGGAAAATGGATTTGGTAGTACTACTAGAATTCTCCTCCACAGAGCAGACGCGCTGAAAAGCGTTTCAATCTAGTACATGTTTCAGAGGAGAGAAAACACTAATATATATACAGGAAGCACCTTTAGTGTTAGAGACTACATTGTATCTTAACCTGTGATGTATAAGTTATTGGCTTCATTTTATAGAAAACTTATATATTCAACAAAGTTTTAAAAAATGCCCAGTTTTTATTGCAACAAGTAGCAGAGTCATAGCTCTAACCTAAGAAGGCTTTCTGACTGCAAATTTCATTTTCCTTGAGAGAGAGGAGAACTCTGGAGAGTGATATGGGCAGTGGCCTTGAAGAAAGGGATGTATGTTTTACTTGTATTGAGCTACCAGCCATTCACCATGATGACTGTTAATGAAGATGGTGATGCTAACTCCTGTCGAACATTGACTGCAGGCACTCATTCCTTTAAAATAATCAACTGTTTAAAACTTGGGTTTTAAAACTTTGGGTTTCTTTCTAGAGAATAGGACCATGATTTTGTTCAAATATTTTAAATGATTGTCAACAGTTCCTCTTTTAGTGCCAGGAACCTTCTTTGGCCTTGCACACAGCTGCATTCTCAGTTACTCATCTCAACCGAACTGTAGAACAAGTTTTTGCATTTTTGGTTGTTTCAGTTCATCTGAAGACGAAGCTCTTTATCCAGCTTGCTAAACTGAAAGATAATTCAAATGTCAAATATTAATAAGGAGTTCTGTGACCTTTTAAATTTCTCTGATGTAGTTTGGAAATGGTTATTTCCAATATCTTACACTTGGCTGTGCATGGGTTTATTCTTAGTTAAAAAATAAACTACTTCATATGCCTGAGAAATTTTTGAAGGCTGGTGCTACCCAACATCTTTGGAACTTATAAAATCATTGTCTTTAAAGCAGTATAGTCCTTAAAATCCATAAAGTCTGCAAAAATAGTTCTAAGAAAATATGCAGTTACCAGATTAACACTGTTGTGAATTAACAGCATAAATAGAAAAGACCGATTAAGAACATTGCTCCAAAGTGGGCTTTGCTTCAATAAATGAGGTATCATAGCAAAGATTCAAACCAATTTAGACATAGTGCCTGAAGGAAGCCTATTAGTACTAATGTCATTTAAAGTACAAAATATTTTCTAGATTTAATATTTTTTTGTTGGTTTTTTAAATTTCCTACTTGCTTTCTCAATTCTTCAAGTAAATCTAGGGTTAAGCAGCAGCATTAGTTCATGGCAAGAAACAGCTACATTTTCTCTGAGTCTCAAATGCAGTAAAGCTGAGGATATCAGCTTCTGTTAGATTTCTTTACAGAAAATCTTAAGTCACAAATCTCTTGGTTTTCAAGACATATAAATTAAAAATTGAAAATAAAAATTAATCTGCAAGTTTTTAAATAATTAAATATAAATTTATATTGTCCATAGAAATATCTAATCATATATGTTTCTATATTCCTAAGTCTTTAAGCTCAAACTTTTTCAGTAAGTGGTCAAGAGCTGTGTGTTGCTAAAATGCATGCTATCAGCTTGGAACTCGCAATCTCAGTGAGACATATTATAAAATCTTGACTCTGAGATTTTATAATAAATTGTAGTAAAGTATCTACTGGTATCTTTATCAGCTTTATCTGCTAGTATATCTTTATCTGCTATTTTCCTCTTCTCCAAGTTGTGGTTACTTTTCAAATCAAAGTAGTTACAAGTCAATGAGACACAAGAGAAATTTCCAATCTTACAAATTAGAATTCATTTTAAATATGCAGCTACTTGTGCGTGCACATGGTATGATCCATGTTGGATAGTTCTAGCACTAGAATTAAGATTTTAGGCATTTGGATGCCCCATGGAGAAGGCCGACTGTAATTTCTATAGCCAATCAGTTACATTCTTAGTTCCGAGCATTTTAAAT